GTACTGATAATTTTTATACACTGCTAAGTCATCAAAATGTGATGTTTCACTAATGAGTTAAAATTAAAAATTTTTAAAGACTTAACAATAAAGATTACAAATTTCTTTAAAAATACATAAAAAATTCATAAATAATAATTTTTTCCTCTCTCCAACTTCGTCATCTTCATTTTCTTCTTTTTATTTTTCCATTATGAACAAATTTCTTAAAATTGTGTAACTTTTATGAGCAAAAAGGCTTAGGAAAGTCTTAGCTTGATTTAATGGGCATGGGTTAGGAAGGTCTGGGTTCTGAGGGGACTCTTATTTGGGACTTTGATTGTCAATGTTTTTGCTGCTTGTGTAATGGCAGCACTCTCCATAGTGAAAAGCTGGTAAAATTTCATTGATTATATACATTTATTTTTAATTAATTGCTTATTCATTCAGTAAACATTTTGATTATATAAATGTTAACGGATTTTAGCGTAGATATACTTTCTAGTTAACATATTTTCAAAAAGTTTGTTCTAAATATACTTATAAAAACAAATGAAAAATATTCTAGATTTGAAACGTTTGAAGATCTAATATCTTAAGGAAATACTTAATTTATCCCTTGAGAGATAAATCTAGGCCGATAAAAATTGAAACTATTATTTGTATAACTTTAAAAACAATATCAAACTTAAAATCAATTGACAGCACGAGGATAAGCTTAAAATTTTATATATATATATATATATATATATATATATTATTGAATTAAAAACATTTTTTTCCTCAATCAATGAAAATCTTTATATTAATAATGTAGAGAGTCATTTTAAGTAAGATCAACTACTAAGTCATCAGGACATGAAACAAAAGTAGAGAAAAAAATCGAAAATATCTAAATACAATACATATTTATCTCTCAAAACAAGAACAACATAGAAACCAATCCAAAAATTCACCCTAAAACCACCATAGAACAAAAGCCATTACAATACCAACAACAAGATAAATCTAACTCTAATTTTCACCCAATTAGAACCATCAAACAATTTCCAAATCAGCATAGAACAAAACCATGGAACCATTATAACCTTCTTACCCTTTTGTTCTCCTATTTTTCATCAATTTTTTTGTATTTAAATTTGATGATGGGCTCAAATAAATCCACCTCACTTAACTCTTTGTCATTTTTTGATAATATTCTGCCTTTTTCACCATCCGAATCCGACATTAAAAGCTGTAA